GTCCCTTCCAACCCAAACCCTTCTGTGATTCCCCGTGGGGCTGGTGTGAAATGACAGCGGATGGAAGACGGTTATAATGTGTCTTTTTCAGCCATCAGTCCTTGGGATTGACCCAGCGTGGGGTCACCCCAGGCGCTAGACCTGCTTCTCGGATCCCTGCGGCAGCCGCCCGAGGGAGAGGGAGGGCTCCTGAAGAAGTTCCTGAGGGTCAGAGCCCGGCCGACGAGGGCTGACGGCTTCTCACTCGCGGGAGAGCGGTGAGGGAAGATGGAGGAAGGGGAAGTGGACTCTGCAGACGGTGAGCTGTGCAGGGTGCGGGACATCCAAATGTTTTTTCTCCTGTAGGAGTGAACCCTGAAATGCTCAGGGCCAGAAGTGACCCCCCCTGGCTGGCAGAGCGGTGCCTTGAGTCCCTCTTGGCCAGTTCAGGGCATGGGGAAAGCTCCAGAGAAGTTACTTTGCTGCTCCTGGTGCTTTGTTAGGAGCCCAACTGGGTAACTGCAGATCTTTTGGGGTTGAGACTGGTGCCTTTGCTGGCTTACTTCACTTTAGTGGAACACCGCCTCATTTAGGGTCTACTGTCTTCAAAATTCCCCAAATTTCCTGGTCCTCTGCCCCTTTGCAAAGCTGTTGTGGGTGGTTTCTTTACGCACCCGCACGGACCTACTTTGTTTCGCAGTGCAGACGTCTAACAGCAGCGGCCTGGAATTTTCTCGTGCTTTTCCTCGCAGGGCTGTTCGCTCACCTGGCAGCGCTGGAGGCGCAGGCTCATGAGGCAGCCGTGAAACGGGAGGAAAAGGGGCAGCGAGAGGAGAAAAGCCGGGCTGAAAGCGAGGGTGCAGGAGCTGAGGCTGCAGAGGGATGAGCTGCGAGCGAAAGTGGATCTGCAGCAAAAGGGGGTGAGAACGGGCTCGGGTGTGCTCCTGCTCTCAGAGGGTGGATTTCCTGAGGTTATTCATGTAGAGTCAACTCTTACTTTTTTATTTTTCCTTTTTAAGTCGCAAGCAGCCCTGATGCCCTCGATTTTCAGTACTGTGTAGTCCAGAACCACTGGGTCTACTCGCTTGGAGGTTGTGTGGCCGTTTCTGAACTATTTTTGTGATTTTTTTTTTTTTCTTTTTTCTTTTTTTTTTTGACTCCCCTATTCTGCTTGAAACATCGCTTCTCTCAGAGCCAGATTATTATTTTTCTGTGTCCTGACTGTGTTCCCTGTGGGTGACACATTCATGTCAGCAATTCCCAACCTCTCTTCTCTTCTGGCTTTTGTAGCAACTTGGGAAAGAAGGAGTCGTGTCGGATCCGGCGCAGCCGAGTGCTCGGGCCGTCTTAGAGTGGAAGATCAGGAGCGTTAAGCGGATGCTGCAGGTCTTTTACCTCACAGGTAAATGTTTCTCGAGATTTGCATATGTTCTGCCAAAGGCTGCGTTTCGAGGATGCTAAATTTTGGGCAACGAGCCTGATGTGAAGCGTAACTTCCCTGTTAAAATTACTGCTGTCGTGCTTGGAGCTTGTAAAGTCTGAAAATACTGGAAGAGCAGTAACCTTGTAATTCCCAGCCTTTCACAGGAAGCCTCTGGCACGCTCCAGAAGCTGTTATTTACCAAAATAGATCATTTAACCTGAGGTCTGGATGCTGGAAAACGCATTGACTACCTTAAGAATGAAATCTCGGGGAACTAGGCAGTTAAATATCCAGTGATCTTTGGTTTTCCAAGCAAGACTGGGAGGTCAGCAGCCCCTTTTCATCTGAGCAATTTTTTTAAAAACAATATTTCCGATGCAAGTCCCCTTTGCTTTGTGTTTTGGGGCTCAGCCCCCACCTCGTGAGCATTAAAAAGCCGCTGTGTTTAATATCCCGAAACTCTTGCAAGTCTTTAATCCTCCTGGTTTGGTACCTGGTGAGAGGATGCAGCCCCTCTCGCGGTGCAGAGTTAGAGCAGCGCTGAGCAAACCCTCCCTTTTTCCCTCTCTCCGACCCCGAGGGATCAGCGGGAAGCTGACCAAGCAGGGGGTGTGTTTCTGCATCAGCACGGCTTACGAGGGCACCTACTTGGATTCTTACTACCTGGACCTGCTCATCAAGGCAGAAGTGCAGATCCAGCGTCACTCCGTGCCCGTGTTCATCCCCCTGGAGCAGATCGCCAAGAAGTACTTGCAGACGGACATCAGGCGCTTCTTGTCCGTCCTCTCCGACCACCTCAACGCTTACGCTGGGAGGAGGTACCAGGCAGACCAGTTACAGGTACCGGCGGCCACGGCGGTGCCGTTCCACCATTTTTTTTCCGCAGAATCACCCGGGTTGGAAAAGACCTTTGAGATCATCGAGTCCAACCATTAACCCAGCACTGACAAGTCTTTCATTAAACCAGATCGCTCAGCACTGGGTCTGCCCAAATCTTAAATCCCTTCAGGGACAGGGACTCCACTTTCCCCTGGGAAACCCCTTCCGATGCCTGACAACCCTTGTAGTAAAGACATTTTTCCTGATGTCCAATGTAAACCTCCCCTGGTGCAACTTGAGGCCGTTTGCTCTCGTCCTATCACACAATAACAGAATGTTCGGGGTTGGAAGGGACCTCTGAAGATCATCTAGTCCAACCTTCATCCCAGCACACCCAACCACTACACCACAGCCTCAAGTGCCAGATCTACTCTTTTTTTAAACACCTCCAGGGTTGGTGACTCCACCACCTCCCTGGGCAGCCTGTTCCAGTGCCTCACCTCTCGTTCAGGAAAGAACTTCCTCCCAATATCCAATCGAAACTTACCCTGACGCAACTTGAGGCCATTTCCCCTTGTCCTGTCATTAGGAATTAGAGAGAAGAGACCAGCACCAGCCTCACTCCAGCCTCCTTTTAGGTAGTTGTAGAGGGCAATAAGGTCTCCTCTCAGCCTCCTCTTCCCCAGGCTGAAGAACCCCCGTTGATTTATCAAGTGTTAACAAGTCTCTGAAGGTGCTGGGGGGCAGCTGGTGCTTTCCTTTATGTGAAGCGCTCACGGTTCGGTTTTTCAGAACTTCACAAATTAACCCGTGACCGCAAAGTCAGTCATTTCTGACTGTCACGTACTTCATTTAAAACTCACTGCCCGACTCTGGAGGTCCTGAAATCTCCGTGATCTTGCAGAAGGGCTGCGTGTGGGCAGGCCAGGCTGCTGGGCACCCCACGCTTGGCGCGCTCCCAGCCCTTTGCGGACAGACTTGCTTCCTGCCTCCGCGTTTTAGAAGTTGTCTTTGCCCTTCCAGGAACGCTTCTCAGATCTCATCGAAGGGACCTTGCAGAGGAACTCCTTGTGCAACCTGCTGGTCTTTCATTACAACGTGTCGAGCGAAAGCG